CCAGCTGAGCTCCTGGTTTCCAGTACCTGCCTCCCACTCTCAGCCTGGCAAAGTGCTAAGATTCAGAATCTTGGCTTTGCTTCTTACAACCTGTGTTACCATGAGTGAGTTATTTAACCCTCCTAGGCCTCAGTTCCTCATCTGTAAAATGATCTTATGACCCTTCCCCTAAAGAGCACTGGACTTATCAGAGGCCAGCAACTCTGGGCAATTAACTCAACTCCATTTGCCTCAGTTTCCTCATCTGGTATAATGAGCTGGAGAAGGAAATAGCAAAACACTCCATTATCTCTGCCAAGAAAACCCCAAATGGGGTCATGAAGAGTCAGACATAATTAAAAACAACTGAACAACAACAAAGCATGTCTGCATAATAGCAGTGGGGATGGGTGGGCTAAGACAGGAGGATAGCTAGTGGATTGTATGGAGGAGAAACCTTGGTATAAACTAGGCAGAGGGGCTCTCCTCTCAGAAAGATGGCCCCCTACCCAACACACACATACCCTAACTGTAGTCAGGCCTCTTAGTTACCCACCTCCTACTGGCATGAGAATCGAACCTGCGTGCGAATCATCTTGGGAGCATCTGTTTGTGTGTATGCGTACCTTTATCTCTTTGAGTCTGTTTCTCTGGGGGAGGGGGGTGTCAGAGAGAGACAGAAAGAGAGAGAGAGAGAAAGAGAGAAAGGGTGTCTATGTATGTATGTGAGAACATAAGGCCTCAGGGTTCATTCTGTCACTGAATGAAAAACTTGCCAATGATTTGTCCAATTTCATTAATATGTGAACAGACATCTGTTATTTCAGAATTCACAACTCAGGGGTTTTTGGGGGGAGGATCTTCCCCATCCTTTTCATTCTCAGAGACTTCCCCCACCCCCTTTCATATTCCCCACCCACCATGGGCCTGGTCTCTCAAGCTGACTCACAGTTTTGAGTTTGGGGATGGGGAACAGGAAAGAGGGCTCAGAAAACTCAAAGGGATGGGGGGAGAAGGGGAACAAGAACAGAACCAGGTACAAGGATCCACCAGTCCCTTCTCCCTAACTTCTCCTACAGAGAGAAAGGAATAAACATTTATATAATAGCTACTATATGCCAGCCAGTGTGCTAAGTACACACACACACACACACACACACACACACACACACACACA